TATTTGATTATATAGACGCTTCGCCTCTGTATCCGGATCTTCTGCAAAAAAGTATATAATGTAGGAAGAAATGTCATAATCTTCTATAGCATATAATGTAGGGAGAAATGTCATAATCTTCTATAACAAGAAGGGAGAAATGTGGGTCTCTCGTGGTCGAGAGGTTACGATGTTCGCCTCTCACTCTCATTCAACAGGTCGCGGGTTCGAATCCGAATAGCGACGGAAAATTTTCTTCTCTAAAATGTTCTCCTTTCTCCTTCTTTCCTGCTTTTTTTCAGTGTTCTGCCGTCTGCTTTCGTCTCCTCTTTCTGCCCCCACACCCTCACCTCCTTTGCCCCTCCTCTGGGCTCCTGACTCTTTCTGTCTGCTACTGCTACTCCTTGGCTCCTTCTTACTGCTGTCTTTCAGCCGCACCCCTGATCTTATATTACGTAAGATTAACACCTCGCCTTCTCGGACAAGAGAAACAAATCTCGACGGTCCTGTGCGCAAGTTGCGCACGTTTAAGATCCCTTGATGGTCCGAAATCGATAAGAGCAGGTTTCGGCCTCCACCCGGGCGAAATTCAAAATTTCCAACCAAACTGAAAAATGATTAATGTTTCCCGCGTGCTCATATGACCTTTTATGCAGTAGCGAGCGCTTATGCACTTAGGCCTACCGTACCAAAAAATAAATAAATAGATAAAAAAAGAAAGAAAGAAAGAAAGAAAGAAAAAGAGAGAAATGTCATAGATCTAAATAATGTTTCAAAGGATGACAACCTCTTCCGCTGTGCTTAGGCATAGGCTACAGTCTAACTTGAGCCACCCAACACGGGGAGAGTAGGCTAGGGCTGGCGAACACACGGGCGAAACTAACGGACAAACAGATAAACCAATAGAAGTAGTAGTTTCGACGTAAAAGGTTGAACGTTGTTTTTTTTAACTATCGGTACAGCTGGGAGTAAACGATCGGTCTTTTTGTCATGCCCTACACCATTAAAAATGACGGTTTTTTTAGAGGTACTTAACTGAACCGTTCATTTTATTTTGTGTGATTTTGCAAGCGGAACATGATTTTAATACTGAGAAACCGCAGCAAATTAGTGGGTTTGTTTTGTTTGTTTGTTTCAGTTGAGGTTTTACAGCGCTCGCAACTGCATAAAAGGTCATATGAGCGCCAGAAGATTAGAGGTGTTACAATAGAGTAACAAACATGAAAAAGAAGGAGGAGAGATAAGGACGATAGATCTAGTTATTTGAAAGGAACGAAGGGCAAACCACACCAGAGCACCCGCTAACCGTCCACTGGGTTTGTGAAAATGAATAAATTTA